TTTCTCTCACCATATTATTTATATTTTTTACTGTTACCAAATTCTGTGTTTTAGCATGTCTAATTATTTGAATGCATAAAACAACTTAATTTATTCATTTTGTTTTTCTTAAAGTAGCCTTGTGATTTTTTTTTCCTTTATTCATTTTTTGCCTTATGAATTTTTTTCCCCTCAGAAATTCTGTGTTGTTGTATTTAAATTTTTCTGGTTATCAAATGAAGGCATAAAACATTAATTTAATTTATCATTTATCTTTTAATTATTTAAACATGGAAGAAATGTTTTGTGTGATTATTCCTTAAAAAATAATATTCGTTTCATTTTAGTAGTAGTAGTAGTAGTAGTAGGCTATGTACATTCTACTGAAAATAGTTATAGGCACAATTTCTTCAAATCAAACCGGACTTTTATTTTGACAGGTTGCCGTGAATACCTTTACAGTTCTGTGTATGAGATATGACGCTAGTTTTACTCAAATCAAATGCTCATGAAGTGACTCTCAGAGCAGTTCTGGAGATATTGTTCATGTGTTTACGTCCTCATTTAGTGAGACGGCAGACGATGAAATCACCGCAAGTGTCACGCGCACTTCAGTGTGTGTGTGTGTGTGTAGTAAATGAAACTGCGTGTCTGGGCCATTCATTAACAGACAGGCAGAACATGCAGGATTCATATTTAAATCGACTTTTGCGGCTTAATATTTACATATACTAGTCCATATCATGATTTGATTTAAGTGTAATGACCTACTTTTGCTTAATTCATTCAAAATTTGATAAATTCCGTGACATTCCGCATTAAACTGTGAATTCTGTTTTTATGACTGGATAAAGACTACATTGCGTAATTTTCCCGCTTATCATGCGGCCACTTGCCTGATGTGAACAGAAAATATCCTACATACCACCACTTGTGAACGAGCCAGTGTAATGCAAATATATCTGAAAGGTCTGCGCGAGGATATCGTCACGTTCTCGCGAGACACATCGGATCGCTCGCCACGAGATCTCGTCACACCCCTAATACATGCCATTTCTGCCATGTTTCAATGTTTATGAGGCATTGCATATAATGTGTATTACCTTATATCCATCTTTGTCCGTTATTTTCCGTGACACTTTAAACAAAGCGTTAGCAGTTGTGGAGTCTTCAACATAAAACTGGGCCTTGTTGCCATCAGTGTGATACTGTGCCAAAAAAAAGACAAGTCGGAAGAGATTTAGCAATTTGACATATTGGTGCTTTTCTATATAAATGCATTTTAGTGTAAACTTACATGAACGGCATGGAATGGCATGGAACAGACGCTCTGAAGCGAAGACAAAAGCCAATCTTTGTCATATTTCTTCCCGAAAGGAATCTGTAACAAGACACAAAGACAATCACAATGTAATATGCCAACAAGGTCACGAACGTACTTTAAATTAAAGCCTGATACATTAATAACTGCTTAACTCATGTGCTATTAATGTCTAATGTACTAACAGTCATTTTAAACCAGTTCTTGCGGCTTCCATCAGAACCACCGCCACCTCCACCACCTCTGACTCCATATCGATTGCCACCTCTATCGTCATTTCCACCTCCACCACCACCACCACGTCCACCTTTGCGATTGTCGCGCCGATTCTGTGGCCGGCCATATGGATTGCTGAAAACAAGCATAAAATCTTAAGTACTGAACCTCAATGTTTATGTAAGAAATTAAGTATAATTATGCCCCAAAGTGCTTACAATCTGCGCTGGGCACCACTGTCTTGAGGACCTTCTGCCATGGTCACATCTCCATCATCATCCTGAAGTCTGGACCGAGGACCAGGGCCTCCTCCACCACCACCGTGACCACCGCGATGCCTCGGCCGTGAAATCTGATCGCTGTACAGGGGGGCTCTGAAAGGGCCTCTGCCTTTACGGTTACGATGCTTTGGTCCACCAACACGGTCATCATGCTCTGAAAGAAGGAAGATGAAAGAGTCAGAGGTGTGAAAACAGGCGTTTAACAAATACAAGTGACATAATCCCTGTAATCAAACAAGTGCTAATGGGCCACTGCTTGGATATTGGCTAAAACGTTAATTTTGTTGCTGGAATCATTTCACACTATATTACACATTACCTGTGCCCCTACAGAGATTGTTGTCCATTTTTCCCAAACTTATGACTAATTTTCAATGAGAAATAAGCATTTCAGTAACTAAATGTTTGCTTTAAATAGATTAGATTATTATGCATGCTGTTACTTGGAAGTATGTCTGAAACCAGTTTCTTTAGAAGTTGACTTCATATACAAAAATGTTGCTCAACTATCTTGTTTAACATGATTTTAACCCTATAAAGCTATATTTGATACCTGAAAGATCTCTGAATTATCATCATAATCAATACCTTTTAAATATCAACTTATATTATTGGAATATATTTGTTTTTGTTATTTCGTTTTAAAGCTTCAATAAACTGATCCATTTCAAAAAACTACATTTCTTGAGTACCATTTCGTATGTCCGTATGTCAGTCTTTAGTTTTAACCAGATGTTGAACACTGTGCATTGCTGTTGGTCTGAGAAACAATGAAGGCAGGAGATGAACTACAAAACTATGACATTTGCTATAAGGCTCCTCGGAGGCCAATATTACAGCAGTTCAACATGAACTCAACACACATTACCACCATGTGGTCAGTTCACCCCGCTCAATATTCTTTTCACAACCTTTCACAAAATATAACATTAAATTCCGCAAAATCGGTTTGGATAATGCGTTTACCGTTTGTCTGAGATAACAGCTAACAACAAAAACATATCACGCACCTACAAAAACAAAAGCTAGCTGGCTAGATGGTACTTCTGTAAATTATAGAGTAACGTTACACGCTGACAGACTACACAGAGTTAGAAAACGGTCTTTGAGAATCAATAAGACTGTGAATAATCTTAACTAAACATTATTCATGTCAAACAATTTAAATGGAGGTGAGCGGCTGAGCGCTTTTGCTAACGGCTCAAACTTACCATTATAGTAGCGCGAGTCGTCCGCTGTCGCCATCTTTTAAGAAGGCTTTAACGCTACTTTAAATTTAAAATATAGGAGTTCCAATCGTTGTTTTCCTATTTTTTTTTAATAAAACGAAATCGAGAGAAAATAAGATAAACGCTTTGTAGGATTGCAAGATCGGAAGAGATCCTTTCTCGCCAGTGTTTTGTGTGAGAATAATCCGTCTCAAATGCAGCTGCGCCACGTTCTTCTTCGAATATCCAGTGGAGTGTTTGTAATTCACTTCACTATTGCCTCCTAGTGTTGGACAGTAAAAGAGTTCTTCTTCTTCTTCTTCTAATAACGTTTTATGGCGGATGGCAAACCAACTTCTGGTGCATTTACCGCCACCAACTGGACTGGAGTGTGGAGCACTAATAAATACATTTTTTTTTTTTATTTTATAAAAAAAAAAAAACACACACATTCCTAAATTCTCCTGATTAATCATATTCCTTTAATGTATTTAACAATAGCACCATATATTTTACCTTGTTCTGCATGCTCTTTCAAGAGGTTCCAGTAAAAGAGTGACTGCCGATATGGATATTGACTTCATGTCTGATTTATTAAATAAATAAAAAACAAATAAACATATGAAGTAAACGCAAAATACGAACATTCTTCCTTTTATAATGGTTTACTGATTTGCTCACAATCTCTATGCAAGAGAATAAAGCAAATATACCAGTAAATCTTTGGTTAGAGTGGACAAATATGCATGAATTTAATTAAATAAATATAAAAAATAAATGCTTCCATAATAGGATTAATATTCCATGTAGTGTTGGAATATTATTTTATATAGTAACAGTAATAATAAAAATATCATAATCGTAATTAAAATATTATTATCAAAGTTAATAATAATACAATTACTAATATTATTATTATTATTTTAGTATGTTTCCCAAATAAATGATACTTCAATGTCCTCTTTATTTTTCATAATATGTAACATGCTTCTCTTTAACAAAATATGTTTTGCATTTTCTGCTGTAAAATAAGTGAAATTGATGAAACAAATTGTATAATATCCCAAGAAGTTGAGCGGAACTGCTTAGCCATGGTAAAAATTTTTGTGATAACATCATAACGCAGAGGAACACACCTACAGTAGTTACACTTTACATGCAAAACTGATATTGTAACAGAACCACAGACCTCAGTAACGACAGGTTAAAGCATTCTCCAGTGTTTTGTGTGAGAATAATCCGTCTCAAATGCAGCTGCGCCACGTTCTTCTTCGAATATCCAGTGGAGTGTTTGTAATTCACTTCACTATTGCCTCCTAGTGTTGGACAGTAAAAGAGTTCTTCTTCTTCTTCTTCTAATAACGTTTTATGGCGGATGGCAAACCAACTTCTGGTGCATTTACCGCCACCAACTGGACTGGAGTGTGGAGCACTAATAAATACATTTTTTTTTTTTATTTTATAAAAAAAAAAAAACACACACATTCCTAAATTCTCCTGATTAATCATATTCCTTTAATGTATTTAACAATAGCACCATATATTTTACCTTGTTCTGCATGCTCTTTCAAGAGGTTCCAGTAAAAGAGTGACTGCCGATATGGATATTGACTTCATGTCTGATTTATTAAATAAATAAAAAACAAATAAACATATGAAGTAAACGCAAAATACGAACATTCTTCCTTTTATAATGGTTTACTGATTTGCTCACAATCTCTATGCAAGAGAATAAAGCAAATATACCAGTAAATCTTTGGTTAGAGTGGACAAATATGCATGAATTTAATTAAATAAATATAAAAAATAAATGCTTCCATAATAGGATTAATATTCCATGTAGTGTTGGAATATTATTTTATATAGTAACAGTAATAATAAAAATATCATAATCGTAATTAAAATATTATTATCAAAGTTAATAATAATACAATTACTAATATTATTATTATTATTTTAGTATGTTTCCCAAATAAATGATACTTCAATGTCCTCTTTATTTTTCATAATATGTAACATGCTTCTCTTTAACAAAATATGTTTTGCATTTTCTGCTGTAAAATAAGTGAAATTGATGAAACAAATTGTATAATATCCCAAGAAGTTGAGCGGAACTGCTTAGCCATGGTAAAAATTTTTGTGATAACATCATAACGCAGAGGAACACACCTACAGTAGTTACACTTTACATGCAAAACTGATATTGTAACAGAACCACAGACCTCAGTAACGACAGGTTAAAGCATGACAGGACTCTAAAGGGGACTTTTAAGTCCTATAGTAAGTAATCAGCTAAAGGAGAACAATAGCAGCAGAGCAGGAAATTCTCTTTAGCTTCACATCAGCTCCACGAGGTAAACTGGTTTCCAAATGCATCTGAAAAAATTATTGTTGAAAAATGCATTGCAAAAGGAATGTCTCAAATATGCTAGCTATGAGTCACGTAATGCGCTCTAATGTAACAGAATGTATGTGTGTTTGTGGTCGCTCCAGAGTTTGGAGCTCAGAGCCTCATCCAGGGTCCATGTCTTTGTCTAAGGTTGGTGTCTGAGGACTGTGGTTGGGTAGTTTCTTCATCTTGAGTCCCGTTTCCCATTCCCGCTGCCCTCTGCTCATGATCTGGGTCCTCCTCGCTCAAAGGGGTCTCTGCAATATGAGGAGCCTCAAGGAAAATGGGAGCTTCATCTGTAGAGGAGTCCTGAGCTGTTGAAGGAAATATTAACTAGTGAATTGACTTGGTCCGTAAACTATATTACCATTCAAAGTTTGGGGTCTGGATTTCTTTCTTTCTTTCTTTTTTTGATAGAAATTAATACTTTTATTCAGCAAGGATACATTAAAATGTGCAAAAGTGACATTAATACATTTATAATGTTACAAAAGATTTCCATTTCAAATACATGCTCTTCTTTTGAACTTTCTATTCATCAACAAATCCAGAAAAAAATGTAGCACAAAAATATTAAGAAAAGAAAATTAATAATATTAGGAAATGTTTCTCGAACACCAAATTGATTTCCAAAGGATCATGTGACACTGAAGAATTTAATTAAATTAGAATAATAAATTAAATGTTAAAATACATTATTTGTAATAATATTTCACAATATTACATTATTAAAATTAATATTTTTACAATAATATATTTCACAATGACTGTTTTTACTGTATTTTTGATCAAATGAATGCAGTCATGGAAGACTTTTCAAAAACATTTTATGTTCTCCTTCTATTATTCTTATGTTTTAAGTTGATATTTTTACCAGCTTCATCCTCTTGCAGGTGATTCAGTTCCTCTGTCCTAGTCGCACTAGGAGTGTCCAACTCACCTGCACAAACAAACATGATTGCATGATTCTTCACTGACATGATCACTACATTTATTGCACTAATGTGCATATAATTGCTACAGAGATCTATTGCATCACTTTGATCACATTTTCTTTTTGTCGCACGCTCTCACTCACCTTTGTGTCGAACAGTTTGTTTTGGTGGATCTGCTGCTTCACCGCTATCTCTTCCATATGGCATGACTGAGAGACAGCAGAAGAATTGCGTATTATTGACTGATCTGTTTGGTTGACGGGATCATGTGTGTGCAGTAGTTATGTATTCTTACTAGGAGTGCTGGAGGATGAGTGCATACGTTTACGTGCTTCTTCCCTCCTCTGCTGAAGACGTGTCGAGTCTCCCATCATCACCTATGTATGTAAACAGATGTCTGGAAAGCATCCAACGGAAGTGTGACAGCATGAAGGTTAAATAGATTAGGCAGACAGATGGTCTTACCTTCACTCTGACCTGCTCGGGGGGAAAGAGCCCTCCCCAGATGAACTGCAGGTAACTGAAGAGCACAATGACACTGAGGAAGGTGAAGTTACTCACCACCCCAACGATTGCAGACATCACAGGGAAATTATACAGGAGGTATCTGTAGCAAAAGGGAAAAACATTACAGGATGGTCATGGGGGAAAGTCTTGAGCTGCATCACTTCATGGAACACGTATAGTCAAATAAACTGATAAAGCCAAACCATGGCAAATACCGAATGCCAGTGAAGTAGGCAAGGATCCTGAGCTGGGCAGAATAAATCTGGACTCTGCAGGACTGAATCTCGATCACAGCACCAACGGCAGGCTGGTACTGTGAAGGACAGATCGATATAATGCATGATTTTTAAATACTAGATATGTACTCTTGGCATGAATAATATGAAAAATCTCAATGGCACAGTGTGACGAGTGGGGGCGGGGCAGGGCCGAGAGCCGTGGGAACGGAGCGAGGCCGGTGGAGTAATTGATGATGAGCGACACCTGCACCACTCACCGGTCTCGAGTCCCACGGAGGAGCTCCGGAAGGATAAAAGGAGGAGTGACGACAGTGAAAGACGAAAGAGGACCATGCCTGGACTTTATTTTGTGTTTTGTGTGCGGAAACCCGGGAGGAAGTTATGTGACGAGAGGGGCGGGGCCGAGAGCCGTGGGAACGGAGCGAGGCCGGTGGAGTAAATGCTAATGCACGACACCTGCGCCACTCACCGGTCTCGAGTCCCACGGAGGAGCTCCGGAAGGATAAAAGGAGGAGTGACAACAGTGTTGGGGAGAGAGGACCAGGCCTGGACTTTATTATGTGTTTTGTGTGCGGCAGTCGTCTGCGAGGGGCTGCCGCTTTACTTTCATTTTGTGTTTGTTTATTTTATTAAAGTCTTTAATGTTCGCCGGTTCCCGCCTCCTTCTTCCCGTGACTACGAACGTTGTTACATTGGTGCCGAAACCCGGGAGGAAGGAGGGACACACTGTCAGAGAGCCCTCGCTGCTGAGGGGGATCGCGGTGCTGAGGAGATCGGGCAGCAGGAACAAGCGGAGAGACCGCCGGTGGCTGCCCGAGGCGGTGGTGCTGGAATGATGAAAGTAAAGCAGCAGTCGTCCGCAAGGGGCATCATACTTTCACACAAAACACAAAATAAAGTCCAGGCATGGTCCTCTTTCGTCTATCACTGTCGTCACTCCTCCTTTTATCCTGGTGGAGTAAATAATAATGAGCGACACCTGCGCCACTCACCGGTCTCGAGTCCCACGGAGGAGCTCCGGAAGGATAAAAGGAGGAGTGACAACAGTGTTGGGGAGAGAGGACCAGGCCTGGACTTTATTATGTGTTTTGTGTGCGGCAGTCGTCTGCGAGGGGCTGCCGCTTTACTTTCATTTTGTGTTTGTTTATTTTATTAAAATCTTAAATGTTCGCCGGTTCCCGCCTCCTTCTTCCCGTGACTACGAACGTTGTTACATTGGTGCCGAAACCCGGGAGGAAGGAGGGACACACTGTCAGAGAGCCCTCGCTGCTGAGGGGGATCGCGGTGCTGAGGAGATCGGGCAGCAGGAACAAGCGGAGAGACCGCCGGTGGCTGCCCGAGGCGGTGGTGCTGGAATGATGAAAGTAAAGCAGCAGTCGTCCGCAAGGGGCATCATACTTTCACACAAAACACAAAATAAAGTCCAGGCCTGGTCCTCTCTCGTCCAACACTTTATCCTTCCGGAGTTCCTCCATGGGACTCGAGACCGGTGAGTGGCGCAGGTGTCGTGCATTAGCATTTACTCCACCGGCCTCGCTCCGTTCCCATGGCTCTCGGCCCTGCCCCTCTCGTCACACACAGTTTTGTCAGTCTTGTTTACATTTTACAAACTTACAAGGTCTGATTTGAAATCTGGGTAGAGCTCCACCTCGATGAGCTGTTTCTGCTCAGACACACCTGTGAGCAAGAGGGGTGAGAAGAGCAGCGTGCTCATGGTCTGCAGCAGATTAGAACGGTAGTGCAGCATCGTCTGATGAGGAAAAACAAGGAACACGTAATTATGAGGTAAACGGCCATGTACTGACAGGTATTGTAATATAAAAGGTTGAATGTACATAGGTCCATAAACATCAAATGTGAATCTAAATCAATGGACAACACATTCCACAACATTTACATTTACATTTAGTCATTTAGCAGACGCTTTTATCCAAAGCGACTTACAAATGAGGACAATTAAAGCAGTCAAAACTAACAAAAGAGCAACAATATATAAGTGCAAATGACAAGTCTCGGTTAGCCTAACGCAGTACACGTACGTATACACACACACACACAAAGAAAAACAAGTAGATAGAATAGAAAAAATAGAAAGCTAGTGTTTGTTTGTTTTTTGTTGTTGTTTTTTTAAATAAAAAATAAAAATAAAAATAAAAAAAGAAGATATAGATAAAGTAGAATTAAAATAGAATAGAAAGTGTTAGAGTTAGACGGTCAAATAAAGGTGGAACAGATGTGTTTTTAGTCATTTCTTGAAGATGGTTAAGGACTCAGCTGCTCGGATTGATTTGGGCAGGTCATTCCACCAGGAGGGAACAGTTAATGAAAAACAACAACACCAGACACTTGTTAAGTGCATCTAAAACCAAATAAAGTACAATGAAACCAAGTGAAAGTTTGGGATTTTTGTAGAGTTTGTACGATTTTTTAAAATGTTTTTAAAAGACGTTTCTTATGCTCACCAAGGCTGCATTTATTTAATCAAAACTAGAGTAAAAATGCAATAATTTTATATATTATTACAATTTAAAATAACTTTTTTTTCTATTTTTATATATTTATTCTATTTTTATTTAGGTAATGGCAAAGCTGAATTTTCAGCATCATTACTCCAGTCTTCAGTGTCACATGATCCTTCAGAAATTATTCTAATATGCTGACTGGATGCTCAGGAAATGTCTCTTATTATTATCAACACTGAAAAGAGTTCATTTTTTTATTTTGATGAACAGAAAGTTCAAAAGGACAGCATTTATTTGAAACAGGAATTTTTCATAACAATGTAAAAGTCTTTACTTCTCTATTCTTTTTGTATTCTATTTGTTTTCTTTTTATTTATCATATAATTACCAAAAAGCAAAAAAGGCCTCTAACACTAGCTTGCTATATTCTTTTTCTATTCTATCTGTTTTCTTTTTATTTACTATATAATAAATGAAAAAAAACCTTGCAACGTGTACTACGTTAGGCTGAGACTTGTCATAGCACTTGCATACCATTGCTCTTTTGTTGATTTTGATTGCTTCCATTGTCCTCAATTGTAAGTCACTTTGGATAAAAGCATCTGCTAAATTTAAATTTAATGAGACATTGCTAAATAAAAGTATTAATTTCTTAAAAAAAAAAAAACAGTAGTGTTAATAAGGGATATTTGATTGTGCATGCACATTTTCCGTTTTTATTTTTAGATTATATTTGCCAATTTGCCATCATCTAGAGCTCACTAAAAGTTATCACAAATAATGTAAAAACTAGTGCTGTCAAACGATTAATCGCATCCAAAAGAAAAGTTTTTGTTTACCTAATATATATGTGTGTACTGTGTATATTTATTATGTATATACAGTGGGTACGGAAAGTATTCGCCCCCTTCCTGATTTCTTATTTTTTTGCATGTTTGTCACACTTTAATGTTTCAGATCATCAAACAAATTTAAATAATAGTCTACAACATATATACATATAATTTAGGATGAAGACATGACAACTAATCTAAAATGAATCATCTTATAAACATCTCAGAATACTAAATTGTACTGCCAACTGTATATTTAGTTGGTCAGATAAAAAATTTGCACTATATTTTTTTACGGTTTATACACATTTTTATACTCTCATATATTCTTATATACTTTTAAGCACAGCTTAATGTAAGTACAGCTTATATATACAAGCTGGATGTATGTATGTATGTATATATACAGTGTATGTATATATATATATATATATATATATATATATATATATATATATATATATATATATATATATATATATATATATATATATATATATATATATATATATATATATATATATATACGTCCTCTGTGAACCAGAAACTATAATAACTAATGCAGCATAATGTATTTTTGTACATTTTGACAGTCTGACACGAATTAATGCAAAACAACAATGCGGTAAAATAGGAAAGAATAAAACACCAGGATAAGATGATGTGCAGTGTCATTTCAACTTGTCCTTTACATATTGTACCTTTAAAACACATTTTTAGTCTCGCTGAACTGCATGTTAAGTGCCTTCCTGTCTCCCTTCCGCAGTTTTTATCTTACACTGATGTCTTTATCAGTTAAGTACATTATGTTGAAATATAAACCGCACACGCACCTTCTTTAATTTGACAATACGCCATGGACAAATAAATATTTCTGCTTCAGAATAACGTTACACTGATGAACAACTCTAGTGGACCGACCCCTTTCCTTTCCCTTCCTTTCCTCTGTTATGTGCTAGAGTGACGCCCTTTGGTGACGCATAATTTATGCATTTCAGGGCAGAGCAATTGATCTCTAAATAATATTTAATCAAAAACGAAAACGAATTGTTGTCACTTACTATCTATAGATCAGAGAAAAACAACCATCTGTTTAGCTCAGTGGCGCCTCTGCTGGTGTGACAGAAGCACACGTACGGCAACAGAAGAGGCACAAAATACAAGCTGTTCGATGCCTTTGCGTGTCAGCAGCGGTGATGCTTATTGCTTATTATGCAGTGCTGCAATTTAAAATATGCTGTTATTCATACGAATTGTTACAGAAAATTAGTTTTGATTTATATGGATTTTTCGGAATCACACGGAAATACAATAACATAAATCAAAAAGGAAAGTTCAATGTAAGATACAACAGCATGACCACTGCGAGAACAATTAAGAAATATATCTTTCTTCGAAAAGTTTGAATTACATTTGTATTAAAGGACTTAATTCTCAACTTAATTCTCCCAAAGAGATTTAACCAATTGTAGACTAATTGAAGCAAAGTCTCTTCCTCAACTTTGCAGAATACACAAAGGTTAGAGCAAATAATCTATCGATATCTAAAAAATAACAATGACATAACACATTTTTTAAATAAAGTAAAAATTTAATTATTAAATTAAATTAAATTGTCTACAACCACATATTTTTGTTATGTGAAGAGGCATGTTTTGTTTATGGAGCAACCCTAAGAAAATGTATATTCATGACTAAAAAACTATGTTTTATGTAAGAAGAAGAATAATAATAGCCTAATAGTAGTAGTAGTAGTAGTAGTAGTAGTAGTAAAGGTTACAGGGAAAGTGTTTTAGTCTTTTTACTTGGTTACACCACTTGACATTTGATTAATTCAATTTCACATTTGTTGAAAATGGTATAAAAAAAAATCAAAATGTATATTGCCAACATAAATAAAACACATCACATTTAGTCTTTTTATCATCTAGGACATATTCATTGGTACTGAACCAAAAATCAAAAACATATTCAATTTAATGTAGCTGAGCACCAGAACCTTTTATTCTTTCTTTACGCACCCAATGTTTCAGATAACAATATTTTCATTTCTCAGGAGGAAACTAGGGGGCGGATTTGCTACAAAGTGACTGTAACATGAGAATGAATGCAGCGGGAGGGTGGAGTGATGTAAAGATGTGGGGGGGTTTAAGATCTTAACCAAGGCGGGAGAGACCACTGAGTCAAAATGGTGCCTCAGTACAAGACAAAGAGGCTGAGACTGCAGCAGTTCCCATGGTAACAGAGCAGTGAGAGGGAAGGCTCACTTGTTCAGAAGCTTCAGCAACATCACCGGCAAAAAACACAAGAAGTGTTTCACGCTATCAAATGTTTCACTATCATTTTTGACAATATAAATTCATTTTGTGGGATTTTAGTTTTAAATACACTGCTTTACATCAATATATTTCCCACCGCCTTCATCCACCCTATGCTGCTGGAAAGATGGTATGAGCCAGCCCAAAGAATAAATCAATCCCAATAGGGGCCCCCTCCCTCCGGTTGGCACATTCCACTCACTGCAGAGGGGGGATTTATGTATGTACGAAGAGACTGGTGTTCATTGTAGCAGAATTGCAGTGCACTGGACTGTACAGAACTGGGTAGCATCCACACTGTCTATGAGGGTGCGGTCCGGCTGCACTGAAAGCAACAACACTGACAGATAGAGAGAGAGAAGGAATAAGACAGAAGAGGAGGGAGAGATATCACCACAAGAGGAATACAGCAAGGGTAAGAAATAGAGAGAAATGGACAAATACAGCACTGTGGTCTTTTTTATGCATCTTGATCTCCATTCACTCCTATTTTCTTGTATGCATCCTTTTAAATGTATTGCTTTCATTTCATTTGATTAACTGAAATTCATTGCATATTTTGTTCCCTGTATCATATTTTCATATATAAGGGTCTTATGTTACCTATTTGAGTGATTGTCATTTCTGCATCTGGCCTAGTTTTTTTGCTGTCTGCAACACGTGATTTCTTCATCTATAGATGCCTAAATGTTTACATTGAACCAGATTACATTCAAAACGTCTGTTTTTGTTTCTGTGCTTTTGCTCTGAATAATATGGTATATTCCATGAGGTGATTGGATCCCTGCAAGCACAACCTATGTGCAAAATGGGGCCGGCATTCCCCAATACACTGCTAAAATCCTATTCAAAATCATTAATGCTACTCATTGACCATTTTAGGTAGATATGTATGTATATGTATTTAGATGATTATGAATAGCTCTAAATCTGTTTATAGAAAAGATTCTGATGATCATCACCTGGAAATGCAGGGTTTCAGGATGATGAAATGTGTTGCTATCAGATCATTGGGTTACACTTTACTTGAAGGGGTGTGCATAAGACTGACATGACACCTTCATAATCATGACATGACACCTACATAATCATGACATGACACATGTCATGAATATGAAGGTTTTTTTATGCATGTTTATGACAACTGTCATTAAGTGTCATTCGCTCAGTT